AGAATTAAGAAAAATAAAAAGCCATTCCCCAATTGATAAATGGTCAAAGGATATGAACAGACAGTTCTCAGATGAAGAAATTAAAGCCATCTATAGTCATATGAAAAAATGCTCTAAATCATTATTGATTAGAGAAATGCAAATCAAAACAAATCTGAGGTACCACATCACACCTATCAGATTGGCCAACATGACAAAACAGGAAAATGATAAATGTTGGAGAAGATGTGGGAAAATTGGAACACTAATACATTGTTGGTGGAGTTGTGAAATGATCCAACCATTTTGGAGAACAATTTGGAACTATGCCCAAAGGGCTAAAAATGTGCATACCCTTTGATCCAGCAATAGCACTTCTAGGGCTATATCCCAAAGAGATCAAACAAATGGGAAAAGGACCCACATGTACAAAAATATTCATAGCAGCTCTTTTTGTGGTGGCAAAGAATTGGAAATTGAGAGGATGCCCATCAATTGGGGAATGGCTGAGCAAGTTGTGGTATATGAATAATGGAATACTATTGTGCTATAAGAAATGATGAACAGGCTGACTTCAGAAAAACCTGGAAAGACTTTATGGTCTGATGCTGAGTGAAGTGAGCAAACCAGAACTTTGTACACAATAACAGCCACATGTGATGACTAATATTGATAAACTTAACCCTTCAGCATACAAGGATCTAAGACATCTCCAGAGGCCTCATGATGGAAAATGCTATCCACATCCAAAGAAAGAACAAAAACATTTTTCTTCTGTTGTTTTGTTTCCTCTTTCTGATGGTTCCTCCTATTGGTTTTAATTTTTATTTACAACTTCACTAATGTGAAAATATGTTTAATAGCAATGTAAATGTATAGCCTGTATCAGATTGTGTGCACCTTGGGAGGTGGTGGGGAGAAGGGGGAGAAAAATTTTAAACTCAAATGCTTATGGAAGTGATTGTTGAGAAATCAAAATAAATTAATAAAATTTTAAAAAAAGAAAAAGAAAAAGAAAGAAAAAATAAATATTGCTCAATTACATTATTTTAAAAAAATAACTTACCCCATGGATTCTCTTTTTCCATCATGCCTCAATCCCAAAACAAGGCTAATTCCTGAAGGTTACATGGAAGACATACCATTGGGTATTCATGATAGAACCCCTCCCCTCTCATACTTCTCTGATAATGCAGCCCAGTACTTATTTGTATTCTCCCCATATTTATATTCTTTCCATATTTTCCGCACAATTTTGCCTTCCATTCTCCCTGCTATTAGCTGCCCCAGGAGTTTTCCAACAACCCCCTGCCAAGTGAAGGTGAGTCATCTTTTAGAGTACTAAATCCACCAGGCAACTTCTAGTATAATGTTTCTGTCTCCCTTCACAAAATATCTCTCTTCACCCATATGTTTATTGGAACCCACTCATATCACGAATGAAAAACTTCCCTCCTTCCCTCCTTTTTTTTATCCTTTGCCCAAATCTCCTCACCTACTCTTTGCAGGCTCTTCTTTTCCTGAGAGAATATAGAAATCACATGTCATAATGCAATTATTTTTGCTAGCCCTGGCTTTGACCCAGGCACATTACATACTTCCAACTTATCCCCCTGATTTCCTCCCCCTTTCATGTCCCTCCCATTTTGTGATGCCCCATACACACACACACACACACACACACACACACACACACATACACACACACACTCACACACACACACATGTTAATACATTGATGTTACCAGATTCTGTCCATAATACCTTATGTTCACCACCTGATACGGTTACTGCAACAGGATTTCTGATCTTACCCTTGGTCTTTGTTTTTCATTTACAAAGAAGCCTCTTTCTGGTCTCTCCGTTTTTATTCTGCTGCTGTTGCTGTCCTTAACTGCTGAATTTGTTAAGTTTTTCTTTAATTCTGTTGTCTGGTGTGTTCAAAAAATAAATAATTTCTTCAGGTCTGGTTTTCTTTTTAATCATTTTTCAAATACCTTTTTATTATTGAACATAAATTTTATTTCATTTACTGTTGAACTCAAATTTTCAGGATATCTCACTTTAGTCTTCATCCAGAGTTCCATTGCTTTTCATAACACATTATTGGATCCCCTCCTATACTTTCTGGTGTTAACAGAATTGTCCTGTGTTATTCAAATTTCCTTTCCTTTGTATTTGAAAGATTTTCTCTTGATCACTTGTAGAATTTCTGTTTTCCAAACTGAATAGTTAAATCTCATCACTACATTTCTTGGAGTTTGTAGCTTTGGGCTCTTTTTTTTTTCCTGGAAACAAGTTATGAATACTTTCAAACAGTATTAATTTTGACTGTTCAGAAGTTCTAGGAAATTTTCTTGTATTATTTCTTGCAGTATGGTGCTTAGGTTTTTGTTTTGTTTTGTTTTGTTTTACATATCATGTTCTTCTAGAAAGCCCAAGATCCAAAGGATGTTTCTATGTATCTATTATTAAGATCTACATGTCTTAATTTAATAAAGACCATATAGTTTTTTTTTATGTTACTGGTTTTTTTTCCTTGCCCCTTCTAGATTATAATTCAATTCTCTTTATTAAATTCTTAATCAACTGTTCTTGGTTTTGTTTCTTTGATTTTTTTTTTGTTTCTTTGATGTTACTTTAATGATATTTATTTCTCCATCACAGATATAAGGGGTTTTTTTTATCTCTCCCCCCTTTTTATTTTTGCTGTTCAGGCCATAAATTTGGCTCTCATATTATTCAGATCCCTTTAGAGCCTCTGAAGAGCAGTATGTTGTGGTTCTGTTTTCTCTTTGAATTCCCCAGAGTCATCGTCTCATCACAAGCATTAGATCATTTTCCTTTATTTTGCAATATTTATTCACACAGAAGCCTGAACTTATTTACTAGTCTAGATTCATATTTCCTTTTGTTATTAATGTTTTCCCTGTTGACCTACCTCTTATTTTCATGATCTTTGAATTTTCTTTTTCCTATTATCTTTGGTAATTTCAAGTTGTTGTTTTTTTATTCCCCTTCTTTTCCCTCATTGCTCACTTTCTGACTCCCTCCCCTCTGATTGTGGTTTTCCTGGGAGCTGGAAACGAAAGAATCTCATTTTCCTCCCATAATTATATAACACGCACAGATATACACACACATTTAGCTCAATGGCTTTTTATCCTTCTTCTTTGACCTTTGTAGAACTGGGTTTTTCTTGTTAAAACACTATTGAACACTCTCTCTCCCTGCATAACATCTACTCCATAGACTTCAATAAAATTGACTCCTCCTAGATGTCTTCCCACCAGTCCTGAAATTTCTTCTCAATCTCCTTTGCTAGACTGGTAGGAGAGTAAGGTTCAGTTTCCCAGTTTTATGTCTAGGAGGACTCCTTATCAGCTACACTCACCAAATTGTAATCTTCATTCTCCCTTATAACCCCATGACCATTCTTATTTATTTGTGTAAATGACATCAAATTGACAGCTAGATAATTCATAGTTTACCAGATGAACTTTCTGCCCCAAGTGCCTTTTATAGGGACATGTCTGGCCCAAGCTGGATGCCGAGCCCTTTCCCTCAGGAAATGTAGACTGTTATACCTTCCCCACCCCCTCAAGTGTTAGTCCTCCTCTCTGCCCTAGAACTGTGACCTGGAACTGCATGTGATCAATGCAACAAGGTCCTGTACCCAGTGTCAGCAAAGGGCCCCATTTCTGACCAACTGCTCAATCACCTTACTGTTTCTGAGCTGAGAGCTCTAAAATTCACTCTTGTTGCTGTCATAGCTACCTCCACAGCTCAGTCACTGTTTTGTGAGTAGCAGAGATCTGATCTTTTCTTCAGGAAAGCTTGAAAGACCTCTATTTCATTAAATAAACATTTTCCCTCCTGAAGAATGATAGTTTTGCTGGGTAAGTTATTTTTGGTTGTAATCATGGCAGCTATTCTCTTTGGCTCTTTTTGTTTTATCTCAGTTTAAAAGGCAAGATCTACCTGAATCACAGTACTGATAGCCATTAGCCACATCATAGATATAACTTTTGTTATATAGATGCATTCCTACTTCATTTTGCTTATATAAATCCATGCATGTAATGTACTTTGTAAACATTAAATTGCTATTAGGCTGCCAATTAACATTAGATGAGAAAAATGTCATAAATTTATACATATCACAAGTAGACCCATCATTTTTAATAGTAAACAGTTGTCTCCTAACTGCTTTTAAGAATAGTTGCTAGTGCTTCTAAGATATAAATTTACATAAATTAAAGTTTAGAGTGTAACTGAACTCCCTTATCAGAACCAAGGACCATGGTAATCATTGAGTGATAGGTAATATAAAAATTGCATGGTGATTAAAGAAGTCAGTTTTAATTATGAGAAGTAAATATCAATAGGTTTCCCAAATAACCTGAATTATACAGTATTTGTATAATATGTTTTGGTCAGTCATATGCTTCACAATCCTCTTATCCATATCATAAATCTTTCATGCTTTCCTCCACCTGTCTTCTGAGTTAATTGAGACCAGTAACCTGTTTTTACCTGGTTTCTCAAGAATGCAAAAGTTTAATAGTGTGCAAGGTTGGGGAACCTGAGGCATTGAGGCCACATGTAAACTTTTAGGTCCTTGGGTGTAGCCTTTTGACTGAGTCCAAGTTTTACAGAACAAATTTTTTTATTAAGGGGATTTATTCTGTGAAGTTTGGATTTAGTCAAAGGGCTACACTTGAGGACCTAGAAGGCCATGTGTGACCTTGAGGCCGCAGGTTACCCACCCCTGGTTTAGGGTCATTAACTCCGGACATTAGTTCTAGCATTAGAGAGCACAAATGTTTACACATCATGCACATCCATTTTCCCCATCTTTTTATATCTTAATAGCTTCGAGAACAAGCTTGTGGCTATCTTAAGCAGGTTTTAAAAAGTATGACATTTTAAAAATAGAAAGTTAGATGGACTTAGATGACCTAGGCTTTAATTCTTATTCTGTTACTTGTTAACCATTCAACCTTAGGGATATTACTTACTGTTTCTGGGCTTCTTTTTCCTCACCTAATTTATGAGGAGACTTCAATGTATGATCTCTAAGAGCCTGTAAGTGGATTAGACTAAATTATCTCTAGCATCTCTTGAAACTATAAAACCTAAATACTATGAGCTTTTCAGCTCTAAAAACTTATGAAAAAAGAACTTCCTATAGAATTAACTTGAGATATTTCCATATTATTAGCCTAGGGAAGCAATGCATTACAGAGACATACTTTCTCATGGTATCTCTGCATGTATAATAGTATGATACGGTATCAGACTTTGAAGTCAAAGAATTATGATTTAAATCTTATTCATTTCCCATGTGATATTGAATAAAAAAAGGCCCATATACTAGGCCCCAAATGTCTTATCTATAAAATGAGGGTACTGGACTAGATGATCTGTATGATACCTTCCAACTCTAAATATTTAATGATATTATGCTAGGAACTCAAGACCCAGTCATACCAATGAGCAATATTATGAGTTTTATTCAGCCTGTGGTCTACCTAGAGAAGGGGAAAAAACCAGTCTCAAAATTTCTAGTTGAAAAGAGTTATCATTTTCAATATAAAATAAGAATGCTAAAATGAAGAAGTAGGACTCAAGGCTGCATAAAAATATTATCACTGCTCATTATAACATTCAAAAGATCTTTCTTCCCATATAATCCTCCCTAAAGATTATCTTCACTGACTCTTATGTGTACATCTTTAGAAACAAAAGAAAGTTGGTTGCTAAGTTTCTCTCTATAATTTTGTCCATCCACTCACATCATCTGAAATGAACCTTCGAGGTTTGTCCCAACCTTCACTCCTCCCCACTTCTGTGGTTGCTGATTGTAGCCATCTTCAAAATATATTAGCTTTTTTTTAATTGCCCATCCCTCAAATAAGTAGAAATAGATGAGAAATTAACTTACCTTTTCAATCAATAAAGGTGATTGACATGTTCAGTTATGATGATCCTATGAATAGAATCAACGGAGAATAGCTACATGAGCATCTCCCAAGCAAAGAGGTTTTTGAAAATAAAGGTACTTTTACAAAGATTGGAGATTACTATCATCATTTAGATCCCTCTGTAATGTGACATAATTTTTATGTTGGTTATGAAATATTGCTGTGTACTATAGCCTTCACTATGAAATTAAGCATACTTGTTGGTCAAAGATCAGTCATTTTAAATAACTGATAAATTGTGAAGGATATGACAGACTTGTGGAGTTTTCTTCCCTTTTTAGGATATATTTTGCCAAGACAACATCAGAAAAGATTTAGAGTTAAAACTGGCTGTGTATTTAAATGTGAGGGAGGAAAGTTCAAGGATATTTTGTGTAAACAGTTGGGGAAACTGTTTTGAAGTTCTCTAATTTACTCTCTTACTTAGATTGACTCGCTAAGGCTAAATTGTCAGACCCATGACCTAACCATTATTGCAGCTGAATAAAAATTTGAGCAAAAAATGTTGAGTTTGATTTTCTAAAAATATGTCTATCACAAAAGCCAGAGTGAAATTGCTATGACATATTCACAGAAGAAAGCACTTTTTCTTTTTTTTTCTTTCCCTTTGCTCAGTTTTACCAGTGATTTGGTTAATTAACACTTCATTCCAAGTATTACATCTCTTAGAGATTTAGGAAAGTGTGAAATTGCCCTCTTGGCAAAGACAAGGATGAAGAAATATCTCAGTGTCATTGCTGTTGCTCTACATCAGGATTTAACATTAAATAAAAGTTTTACAGAACAGGATATGTTCTGGAAGTCAGAGAAAAGAGCTCTATTCAAACTCCCACTCCAGGCTGCATATGAATACATTATTTGCTAATCTAAGAAAGTTTAGGTCAAATTCATGGTCAACGCTTTCAACTTTAATTCACTTCTTTTGCATGTTTAACAAAAGAGTTCAAATCTACAGGGTTCTACCACTGTTTTATTTCGTTACACACATTACAGGTATGTTAATCAAGAAATGACTAATTATATTATCAGTTCAAGAAAGGGGGCAGTACAGCTAACCAGCTGTACTACTTGTTTGGTCAAAGGTCTCTGAAAAGACAACTTCTCAGTAGTCTTATTTCTAGATCCTATCAAATTTCTTCAGAGACCTTTTTCTGTCTTTCTGGCTTAGTCTAATTTTTAAACATTCTGTCTGCTTGAATTGTCATTCTTCAGCTCACCTGGCAGCAATCATGTTTATATGTTAGCTCATCCTATCTAACATTGAAAATGATAAAGCAATTATGTAATTATAATGAGACATTGTAATTGATGGTGTGGATCAAATTGGACTCTGGCAAAACGTAGTCCCCAAATGTTAACACTCAAACCCTTGAACATCCTACCTCCTTCAAAGTCCCAAATTCTTACTAATGCTTATTGTCATTTCTTCTTCTGACATGTTTAGCCACTTTATTATCCCACTCATTATTATAACAGATGAACTAAATAAGACAATAAAAATAATGATATTGTTTAATGTATCAAATGAACCAATGGATCTGGTTTTCCTGGAAACTTTGTTTAACTTAGGGTACCAAAATTATCAATGACATGTAAATTGGGATGACAACATCTTAATTTTTTTTCACTTATTTTTTTGTTTTCCTAGAAGGAAGCCTTTATTATATCTTCTGATTCTGAAATTCTGAAATGTTGACCTATGAACAGATAATAACCCCTAAAGTGATAATTATAACTATAATATCACTGATGATTGAATCCAAACTATCTTTCCAGCTTATTATACATCATTCTCTTTATTGTACTCTAAAGTCTTTTTTCTGTTCCTTATTCAGGACACTCCAAATCTTCCAATTTCAGTGCAAATTTGCCTTTGTACTTGTTCTCCCCTAAGCAGGAAATTCATGCTATCTTTACCTCTCCTTATAGAATCTCTCATTCCCCTTAGTATTCAGCTCTAACAGCACATTTGACTTGAAGGTTTAATTTAGTTTAATTTATTTTAATTCCTGATGGACCTCACTGTTAGTATTCTCTCCCCCAAATAAATTTTATATTTATTTTGTATTCAGTCCATGTATATTTCTATATGTATCCACATCTAATGTAAATTCATTTAGAGGAAGGACTATTTTATTTGTAACTCTATCTTTGTAACTCCAGTGCTCAGGCCCACTGTAGGTGTTAATTGATTCCTTTTGATTACATTGGAACCTCAAGTAGTGTAATGCAACTGCACTTAAGCAAAAGAAATAGTTGAAATGGCAGAAGCATTCCTCTGGAGGCAAAATTTGTCATTTTTTTCAGTCATTTCAGTCATGTCAACTCTTCAGACCTCATTTTGGGTTTTCTTGGCAAAGATACTGAAATCATTTGCCATTTCCTTCTCCAGATCATTTTACAGATGAAGAAACTGAGGCAAACAGGGTTAAGTGATTTGTCCAGTTACAATGCTAGCAAGTGTCTGAGGCCAAATGTGAATACGTGAAGATGAGTCTTCCTGACTCCAGGCCCAGCACTTTATCCACTGTGACACACCAGAACATATAAGAAGTACCAATAATCCACCTGCTACAAAGGCTTCAGTGCAGATGGTGTTTACAAAAGTGGACCAACCATAAATAGGCACAAAATGGACTGAAGACATAAAGACTTTCATTACGTATGATTACTATAGCATGGGAAAATTAGAAAAAAGCCTCTACCAGTTAGAGATCAGGCCTCCATACTGCTTTTTTATAAGTGATACCCTTATCTCCAAATCACCAGCAATATAATAGATCATTATATGGCAATGTAAGGAATAACTCCATCGCCTGTAACAAATTAGATAACATGTGAATTGGATTTGAGAGCTGCTAATACCCACAAAGAGGAAAACTTGAAGAAGCTGAAGTCATAAAAATGTTTTATTTGATGCAAATTCAAGAAATTCTACCAAATAATGAAACAGATGACAAAACTATGCCATTTTGAAGGGGATAAACATATTTACATCAGAATTTCCTAAAAGACATTTTTGAATGTAATGGCATAAATCCAACTGACAGACAAACTCTGTCAAAACAGTGTAATTTGAAAATTTTGACATTTGTTCTAATCATCATGAAATAATACTATAATACCATAATATTTAATAGAAAGTTTAAAAATGCCTATGGACCTGAACACATTGGTGGCTATTACCAGTATAGGAATCCTATGAAGAAAGGTGGAAACATAGAGTAACTACTCTAAGAGCAGGTGTCAAATATCAATATGGCAGAAAAGACTTGAGAGAGACATACTGAAGAACTGTTCAAAGATTACATCAGTATATAATTGGTATGGGATTTTGCTGGCCTAGGGGCCTTGTTCTTGCCCAACCCAACCCAGCCCTTGCCAGAAAAAAGATGGCTCACAGAGGGATGGTGGATAACAACCCTAGGGGCCCAGAAAAGTCTTCAACCACAGTACAACAACAACAGCTGCTGTTGACTGAATGCTTACCCTCAGAGCTTGTCACTCAGGACATATTAGATTCATATAAGAATCTTGTTCCTTCAGTAAACTTCCCCAGAATCAAGCAGATTAAAAATATACAAACTGAGATTACATAGAAGACTATGACCTCTTAATACTAAAAAAGGAAATAGCAGATATTCATCCTTTCTTTCTAGCTCAAAAGTGTGAGATTCTGTAAAACATGAATCAGCACTAGAAGACAGTGCTGAAGAAGAAGAGCACCCTCTAATATTAACTGATGAAGACCTTCGGTGAGGAGAACTTGCCTGTTGAAGCCATTTAATACGTGCACGTGGTACAGTTTTTGGAATGGGCAGTGGCTTTCATCGAGAAACTAGAAGCCCATGTTGAAAAAATAAGAAGCATTTCTTCTTTATATTCTAGTGTGAAAATATGCATAAGGCTTTGACAAATATTAATTTACTTATTTAGTGACATAAGAATCAAGCCACCAAAATTATTTTTTGCAAGAATAATTGTTTTTTTTGTTTTTAATTAATTTATTTTGATTTATCAACAATCACTTCCATATGCTTTTGAGTTTAAAGTTTTTCTCCCCTTTCCTCCTCAAGACTGTACACAATCTGATATAGGCTATACATATACATTCCTATTAAACATATTTTCACATTAGTGATGTTGTAAGTAAAAATTAAAACCAATAGGAGGAACCACCAGAAAGAGCAAAAAACAGAAGACCAAAAAAATGGCAAAGGGTATGTTTTTATCTGCATTTGAACTCCATAGTTCTTTCTTTGGATGTGGATCACATTTGCCATCACAAGGCCTTTGGAGATACCTTAGATCCTTATATTGCTGGGAAGGGTTAAGTTTATCAATATTAATCATCACACAACATGGCTGTTATTGTGTACAACATTCTCTTGGTTCTGCTCACCTCACTCAGCATCAGACCATGCAAGTCTACGCAGGTTTTTCTGAAAGTCAACCTGTTCATCATTTCTTATAGAACAATAATATATTCATATACCACAACTTGCTCAGCCATTCCCCAGTTGATGGGGATCCTCTCAATTTCCAGTTCTTTGCCACCACAAAAACAGCTGCTATGAATACTTTTGTACATGCAGGTCCTTTTCCCATTTGTATGATCTCTTTGGGATCTAGCCCTAGAAGTGCTATTGCTGAGTATGCACATTTTTATAGCCCTTTGGATATAGTTCCAAAATGCTCTCCAAAATGGTTGGATCATTTCACAACTCCACCAACAATGTGTTAGTGTTCCAATTTTCCTACATCTTCTCCAACATTTATCATTTTCCTGTTCTGTCATGTTGGCCAATCTGATAGGTGTGATGTGGTACCTCAGAGTTGTTTTGATTTGCATTTTTCTAATCAATAATGATTTAGAGCATTTTTTCATATGACTATAGATGGCTTTAATTTCTGTCTGTTTTTATTAATTTAATTAACTGTCTGTTCATATCCTTTGACCATTTATCAATTGGGGAATGATTTGTATTCTTATAAATTTGACTTA